GTAGTGCGATGACTCGTAAGTTAAGTGTAATACGAATGATTTGAATTTAAAAAAAACACAAAAAAACACCACTTTTTCATTTTACAACAATGATGAAACAAGTCATTGCAACTTATATTAATCACTATTGTAGGCCAGGATGTTAGCGCCCGGTTTTTTTTTTTTTTACTGTAGGAGGAAACTGGAGTACCAGGAGAAAACCCACGTGGTCAGGGCAGGAAACCCCATGCCTTTTTATGTCCGACCGGGGAATCGAACCCCGGCGCTTTGGTGAAGGGCGAGTGTGTTATCCGCTGCATGAACTGACCACCATTTGAATTTAATTTCCTTTATATATTTATATACATTGATAAATACTTTAATATACATATCTTAGCCAACGAAACTAATTATCATTACATATAAAATTATTAAACAATTATTATTTTCTCCAGTTTCTTAATGATACCCCTGGTCAGAGCCAGTGTTCTTTGTCACAATTATTTGTGTTTTCAAAGTGCTGCAATAGTCTAGACATTCTGATAGAGACCAAAACTCCCAAAATGATGACAATATATATTTGTTCATACATATCATATATTGAGGAAATTTCAATTTATATAACCATAAAAACACCATTTAAATCTATATTATCAATCATCGCAGAAAAAATGTCATGTCTATGAATGGTAATTGGACCTATTGGGGCGAGAAACCAATTATCATCGAAGCATTCCTTTGAAGACGATGAAACAAGCACCTATGCAGTTATCGATTGTTGTTTGACTTGGATGGCTATCTTTGAAGGCTATTATATCTCTGATATTTATTTCACGCGCTGACGATCGCGCGTGCGTGTTCGTTTCATTATTTGTCATAAAATCATCGATAATGATCGATCGACAGAATGTCTTTAACTCTGGCAGAAAAATCCAATTGTGACTCTTGAGATTTGCGCACAGTTTATGACGAAATGAAGCCGGTCAAACTAATTAGTTTTGTACACTGACAATTCGGACTTTAGTAGTTGCTCTGACTGAGACATCGTCAATAGCGGTAAATTCATGTTTCAATTTAATAAAGTATGCCTACAGATATTCTCATCTTCTACATAACCAGACAGACAGCGACAGTTATAGTAAGCTTGGTTGTATTCCAACTAAAAGTACACATGGTATGTCATACTCCACCTATTCCTGTAAGTACTTTCTACATTTTCCAAATGAAGCTTGTTTAAATCTCGTCGTTAAGAATTTTCTATTCAGTTATAAATAATTAATGCTGTGGACGATATGTTTAATGCTTTATTTACTTGAACATCGTGGTTTCCGTTATAAATGTCGACTGCTGACGTACACACTTACAAGACAAGTTTTCAAACATGTAGGTTGATGACGTATATGGATAAAATGTATAGTCGCCACCATGTTTGTATGATATAAACTTCGCGCATGCTCTTTAGTTTACCTTGTGGTTTGGTTGTCGCTACCCTAGTTCTCCCTAAGAGGACATGGCATTACTTGATTTGACCTAGATTTACAGGCGGGTGTCGTCGATGAAGCAGAGACGATTACCGTTCACACAAAAAAACCTGGCCTTATTTGCCTAGTACATTTTTTAAAAGTGTCTGTGTAAATATTTCAGCTTTTCGTAGGTTTGTCGATTTTAAGTTCGAATTTGGTTTTCTTGCTGATTTCTTGACTCAGGTCATCGGTATAAATAATAATTTAAAATCCCCGTACCACCGAAAAAAATTATCCCTCTACCAGCGCCAGAAAAAACTGTAACTTCGCATGAGAATTTGTTTTTCGGGCATGATTATGAGTACGATAAATCATTTTTTTTTAAAAAAGAAAATCTTGCTGGACTTTTATGAAAAAAAATTTAAGATAAAATAAACAAAATACAATCAACAACATTGTTCTTAGTGTAAAAATATCAACAGGGCTAGACAGCGCTTCGAAGCATTGACTTTGGATTGTTATACCACGGACTATCTAATTTCGTGGTTATACTATCTATCTAACAGATTGAGCTACTTACTAACCGTTGAGGGGAGGCTACTGTATATAGGAAAACCTGCATAGTATCGAGACAGGTATCCTTCATAATGTTTTCGAAGGAATAGTTTTTTTTGATCATAGTCCGATTGTAACACATGCAGTTGATCTCATTTGGGAAAGTTTCTTAAAACTCGTAGTCATAAACTTTACTAGTATGACAGTATTAACATAGAAAAGTTATGTGCACATACATTTTGCTTCGTACAAGTTACGGCCAATTTAAGCGGTGCAGATGCACTTGTATATTATATATAAACGTTATTTGCTTCCTTAGTAGAAGCAGATTATAATTTGATGTAGGTGATTTTTAAGTCAGGCTAAGACAACACGGTGTCGGTTCTATCTCTACATGGACGACCCTACTTTCTAGAACCAATTACCTAACAGTGCAAATCCCCGATGTGTTAAGTCGGACCATACGATATACCAAACCTGATAGCATAGAAAATGTGCTTCATAAATTAGTTCGAATCCCTATAATGCATACAGTCTGTACGTCATACAATAAGCATTGCACGTCAAAGAACTATGACACCATAATAATATAACTTCGAATAAAACCTAATTGAAGACTCTGTACCTCCAAAACACTTAACATCCTAGAGTATCTAATCATAACACTTAACCTTATAAAACAATGTACACGGTAATTCATTATCTAACCGTACTACTAAATTTCATAGAAGTACCGAGGTATATATCCTGGAACCTCTAATGGAAGTCTGACATCTAATGTATATGCAAGACCACACACTTGTGTTTTTCTAACGAATCAGAAAGCACTCATTTATTGCGCGGACGTATATATGTCCGCGCAATAAACTCGTACTTTCTGATTCGTTAGAAAAACACAAGGGTGTGGTCTTTCTTTTATCACATACCTTCCGTATTTGGTAGAGATCGTTACAAAGATTTTATAAAAATTGATATTTTTTGCAAATACTGTACACATGTGCAATGCATAACGTTGTATTTCATGGTCTGAAAATTGCTTGTATTACTATAACAAGATTCAACACTTATGTGATAAAACTAATATCCTTCACTTTGTATAAAATCACACAATAACCCAACATCTCACAGAATATCACACAATAACCAAACATATCACGGAATATCAAACAATAACCCAACTAATATCCTTCACTTTGTATAAAATCACACAATAACCCAACATCTCACAGAATATCACACAATAACCAAACATATCACGGAATATCAAACAATAACCCAACTAATATCCTTCACTTTGTATAAAATCACACAATAACCCAACATCTCACAGAATATCACACAATAACCAAACATATCACGGAATATCAAACAATAACCCAACTAATATCCTTCACTTTGTATAAAATCACACAATAACCCAACATCTCACAGAATATCACACAATAACCAAACATATCACGGAATATCAAACAATAACCCAACATATCACGGAATATCACACAATAACCCATCATGTTACAGAATATCACACAATAACCCAACATTTCACAGAACATCACACAATGACCCGACTTATACATTATAGAATACCGCAGCACAATTCTACAACATATTAACAATCTACCGCCACCTCATATTCGATAGAACATTGAACCACAACATATATACACCATAAAACTTACGAACACCTCCCAGCAAAGCTCACAGAATTTTACGTTATAGAATGTTTTGTTTTGTTCGGGTTTAATGCCCTTTCAACGTTTAATGTTGTATGTAGCATGAACTTAATAAAACCTCAAACGAAACCATTAAAGATAAACAAAACAAAACAAAACCACCATCTCAAAACAGTCAAAATAAACAAAACGTTTGAATATAAATCTGAAAAAAAAGTATCACTTCTTAGAGCTGCCGGTGCGGATTTTAGAGACTAAAGTAACGATTGTAAATACACGTTAGGTAAGATCGTGCTATATGTCGTTAATACCACTTAGAACCATCAGCAGCTCCTCGCCATATTTTATCTCTAATGATAAAAATAGATTTTGGTCTATAGGATGGATCCCACATTGTGTTGCGGTACGGCCTGATGGATGGACGCTAAGCGGAGGGCCTGGACTATCTGGCGTGATGTATGACTGCTTTGGGTGACTCTCCCAAGTTTCCCTTCCATCTCTCAACAGTTAATTACAGATACGTTACATGGACTGGTACAAGTTACAGAGAATTTACATCCAATAAGCCCATCTCCAATGACACCAGTCCAACACAAAACAAAGATGCCTTCCCTTAATTGCTTGCTTGAAAGGCTTTGTGCTCGGAAAGAGGGCGATCACATAGCGGCGAATTACCCAACTTGTCTGCTGCTGTTTTTGATTATACAAAATCTTGTCCAAATAAAAGTATTCTTTAATCACGGCTGCTCAATAAAGGCCAGTATGGCTCAGTCCGCCCGGTTTATTGGCCTCACACTTTTGCGGCTTGGCAATGCGATTGCCCATTAACGAGAAACATAAATGTACAAAAACGTGCAATTCAAGAAGTTTGCTTTTAAACAGATTATCGAATTGTAGAAATATTTCATTTCAACAATGTGTACTTTCTTCCGATAATGTGAAAGTTGGAAGAAGTACATGTGTTAGTGTATAGGCGGCAGTTCTAACATTACTGGTGTATTTAGATGCTTGAGCCATGTACATTGACATAGCTAGAATTTTTTGCTACTGACAAAAGAATTGTTGCTGAAATAAAAGACATTTTGTATTTTAAATTGAATTTTCTTACTTAAAACGTATTAAAACGGTATTTTTTCGTTTTGTTCAAAACTTATTTGCATTTTAAGATAATGTCTTAAAATTGAAAACGTCATATCCTTATGTTTAGTAATAATGCTATCGTAACAGGACAATTTTTTTTATCTTGAAAGAAGCTCTTAACCATATCACTGAAACAAAGTGCGTTTTGTGTGTTTTCAGTAGGTCAATAGGAACAATGTATGCATACCCAATTTTCCTTGGACTCGGCGAACAGTTTCAGTTGCTCCTGTAGGATCTCGCCGTCACCCCCCGGATCACAGAACTCCTTGATCAGAGCTTTTGTTTTGAGGTACTGCTGGGGGGACACGATGGGTCGTATGATGGCCAGGTATTTCTGGAATGTGCTGTGTAGCTCTGGCACTGGTAACTTCGGCAGCGGTTTCTAGAGGCAAAACAAAGGCACGATATATGTTGTACAGGAAGGAGATGACGAACTAAAACATTGATTCCTTTACGTTATTTATGGATTATATACATATACACATATTTTCATTTCAAATATAAATATCCTCGTTAACAGATCATTTGAAACATCAAAAGGTTATATATATTTGTAAGAAAAATGAGATTAACATAAATTGAATGTTTATTTTAAAGCATGGTTTTAAAATGGAAACCGCAAATTGATATTCATGTTCTTATTTCCATGTACAATCGATTTTAAAGACAGTATTCGCTTCCCAAAACAAGGTTTGGTCAACGGTTTCATTGTCAGTTTCATAGAGATAAAAAAATATAATATAAGAGTTATCACCTGTACCTTGAATATTTGACTTGGACATAATATAAAGACAATGTCATGGCCCTTATTTGACCCCACACTCCGTAAGAAAAAGAAAATGTCATTTGTTGCTGCATAGTGTCACGATACCCGGTGTATTTCTTGTGTGTATGATAGTTATTATTGACATTTAGTACCAAACAAAAGTCTGAAAGTACATTGGAGATATTTTACAAAAAAGTACAAAAAAAACCCACCCAGATATAGTTCAAGGTAGCGCAATAAATTATATATTGGATGTTTCTGAATGATGAGGCATGTACTTGTGGTGACACTAATTTACAAATTAATAATATAAAATAATTAGCACAATTATACTTCGATAATTATTTTCTGTATCAGTTAAAGTTAAAAAATTGTACAAATTCAGCTAAATAATAAGCAATAATCAAACCTGATAAAATTATATATGATACAGTAAAATAGAAATAAATGAACTTTCATATATTTCTAACGATGTAAGCTATCCAGGTATTACGCCCCTTTATAGTTGGCCGCTAATAAACATTGGCGCCGTCAGTCAACGGTAGTTCCGGTTTGAGATTTTTCGCAACGTGCGAATATTGCATGACTATTAACTCCTTAACCTAAGAGGCCTAAATCGGCTTGAAAAACTCAGTTAAGTGGTTAACAGTTCATGACAACGATGTCTACTCACGGTTCATATAATATAGATCTCATATGTATGCCACAGACATAAATATATAGTATATTACGGAATAGAACACTTAAAATACATGTCAATGTCGTTGTAGCACTTATCTGACCTACTTTTAAAACATTGCTTCCTGCGTTAATACAAAATAGCAGGGGGGATGTCAAAGGAGTTTGTTTGTTTTCTGCTTGTAGAACATTACATGTAATCCATATTTGTATTAACCGGAAAATCACGGCAAAGGTTGTCTGCTTCACTTCGAATGAGGAAAAACTCATTATTTATGTCTTTGACACGAAATTCTTCTGATTTAATCATTGATTATGAAAAGGAATATTTATTTGACCCTGTTGAACATTTAAATTTATGTAAACACGATATCCTTTTTCTAAATCCGAACTTTGAAAATTTGATCGTCAGCATCGGGAAAATCAGCTATTGGTAGTTAGAGGTTACACGGCGCCTGTCAAGAGTATCTCACCGTGTAAACCTCTAACACTGTTGGAGTATTAACGCCTATGTTCTAAACACCGATGTTATCATGTAAGTGTTTTTTGTTTTGTGTAAAAGGTGAAATGTGTAGTTTTGCATATATTCGCGATGTATTAGCAGAAATGTTATCGTTTTGATACCTTTGTCAACAATTTTTTGGGAGCATCTAACTCTATCTACTCTATGTCCATTACATGTCCTAGATATGTTATGCGTCCGAGTGATCAGCCTTTTACGTTGTTAGGCATGGGTAGTCCGCTGCCACCACGCCAATAAGGAAAGAAATCGTGTTCTGATAGTAAAGACTGTATGTAACACAACGCACAATAATCACATGTTACAACAAATATGGAATCAATCCGGAAAAGGAAGTGACCAGCATGGGACCGCTTATTAGTCAGTGACAAGAACGCTTAATATAAGAAAAAGAAAATAAAGTACTGGCACCCATTACAGCATGGTAGACGCTATGAGAATACAGCGCCAGATCGGCATACATTAAAGAACATATGGCATAATGTAGTGGGGATGTTGAAGTGAAGGACATGGGTGTTTATATCAGCCAACATTTTTCTTTTTAGGTGCAAGTGCGGATGAACTAATTACATGATCTGTATGGTGCTCTGGAAATAAATTGTCCATATGGCAAAACCTCTGACAAATGGCATAACAAACCTACAGAATGTGCAATAAATGTTGTGAGCTCAACATTGATAGTGAATTATTTCTAAACTAACACCAATATTACATGTACTACTGTATCAAGTCATGGGACAAATGGCTGTGTCAAAACTTTACTGGGCTGATTTTGTTGTCTGGACAAATAAAGGAATGGTGGTTGAAAGAATAACAATCAATAAAAACTTATGACAGAGTAATATGTTATTCAAGCTAGCATACTTTACAGTCATGAGTTTGTTGCTGAACTTTTCACTGTTAAAAGTGGTTTGCACTTGTATGAATAGGTTAGCAATGTTTGTGCCAACAATTTCTAAATGGATTATCATCAAAGTTTGAAATCTTGCATACATATACTGATATTGCAATTGATTCTCTCCATGATATAAGTACACATATGCAAAACTTAGCAATGACTTATTAATTTTTTGGGTTTGACACCTTGACGATAAGACAATATGTCCGCCTAACCGTAGTTGATAACCTCGGGCGATGTAGACTACGGTTAGCCGGACATATTGTCTTATCGTCAAGGTGTCAAACCCAAAAAATTAATAAGTCCTCGCTTCACCCCAGTCAGTGGAAAATAATAGAAAGACCATCGCCCGATGGTCATATGATTTAGTCTAAAACCTGTGTGGTAGTTTATAGCTATCTAAAATGGAAATAATTAGGCCTACCGAGAGTGTATAACACACATTCTGATAAGAAAACGAGCAGGCCTTTCATATTAATATTCACGGTTACCTTGACACATAATTTGAGAAAATCAATGACAATATTACTCCAGAAAAAAGACGTGTGTTTTCAATCATTTCAGCAATAGTTTCTCTATTGCATTAGAAGTTTATTTCCTCGTGTCTCCGTTAAAAAAGTGTCAAAAACGGGGCTACCGTCCTGACAGCATTTGTCGGACACCGAAACAATGTCGTAAACAACTGACGACGACTGCTTTGTTTACATTATACACTCTCTTCGTTGAAAAGAATATTTGATAATTATTAAAAAGGGAATATTTAGTGTTTTTTTTGTGTAAATATTTCTATATAAGTTGATTTCACCGCGCGACTTGTGAGGTACAGGTAGGAACGGGCGAAATAAGCTCACTCGATGGGTATCGGTCGAGTCCGTCATGCTCTATGATTTACAATGTACATACAAAGAGCGAATTAACTGTGTTACAAATATAACGCTTGATTGACACGCTATTGTTATACGTGTTAACCTCTGTGCCTGTGATGATAATTACGCCGTTTATCAAGACTTAATATCTAAATGTTATGAACAAATTTGAACAGTTCAGATATGCATATTAAATTATGTACAGTGTATTATAAGTAGATGTGCAGGTATGGGGGATCTATAATTTGTCGGTACGGATAGCCCAGTCACTCTTGTATATATATTACCCTGTTGGGGTACATGGTATGAGCATTAATTATTACATTAATAGTTTATTTCATATTTTCGTTTGTTTTATATTTCGTGTGCTTAAAATTTTGTTGGGATTATATTTCGTGGTTTTTATAAAACCACGAAATAAACGAAATTAAATCCCCAAACGAAATATTATGCTTTTACAGTATTAACAATTAGCACATAATATATTTTACAAAGTTTCCGTTCACAGAAGTTCGTTATAAATGTCTGAAATAAACATATACTATACTGATATTGGTCACAGCACACATAGATATGCATGTTTAAAAATATACGTAACAATTCGTCACATTTGTAACTCTGTGTTCCGATCGTCCATATTAATTGCTCGCTCATCCTAAAATCTTTGATTTTTAATGGCAATACCACATTTTTATGCTTATTTGTCAGTATGTCTTCAAAACGGCACATAAAACGATACACTGTCACTGACTGTAAAGGTCAACTCTCTCCCAGCGTAGACGTCGGACCTTTACACCGGACTTGACACAATGTTACGGTAGTGTTTGTGGCGCGTCAAAGGCACTTAATGCTACCAGTGTTCTTCCATTGTTATCAGATTAAGATGTTTTTACATGAGATGAATATCATGGGTAAAGAATTAATATTTTCTAGGCACCATAACTTATTGTCTCTTTCCGAATTATTGGTATATATTTGTTTTACCAGGGAAAATTTAATTTTATAATTATAAAAAAAACTCATATGACAAGTTATAATATGCAGAAATCCTCGACACAGATTGAGAAAAAAGAGGGCTGGACTGCTTCCACGGTATTTTGATAAAATGTCAGTGAAACAGTTTCAATGCATAAAACGGTCTAAAACTCGTTCAAAGTACTCTTGAAACAATCCTGTCCATATTATGATGTTTGAGCGATAGTGACTTTGTACAATAAGCGACCTTGTGACTTATTAACATGCAGACGACCGAATCGATATTTTTGTAAACATCTTACTCCATGTCATTTTACGAGCATTGAGTCATTGAGCATTGAAGTCATCTATTTTATAGAAATGAAATAGCTTTATGGTAGTGTGTTTTAAGTAAAAAGACCATAGAAGTGGTCTTTAAAACCCCTTACGAATACATTTCATTATTTGCTATAGTGTGAAAATTACTCCGACTGTGTGTCTTTTTGTACAAACATTTCCGTGTAAAAGATATTTCGATTTCTGATGGTTTTTGTCTGAATAGATAGTCGATGATGTATTAACAGATGATAGCAAATCCCTGCACAAATAAAGCGTAGAGACAAAATAAAACATGAACATGACCGAACAATTAGGGATTGTTTTCTGATTACAGAATCATATTTCTTGCGTCATGACTGTGGAAGCTTTGGTTTTAACTTTATTCCCTAGGATCCACCCCCTCCCTAATTAGTACAAAAATAACCACCAAGATTAATATAACAGTTGATAAACTTATAATACCAGACTCTATCAGCTGCTTGAATGCATCATGTGGTATTGGCTTGGTAACCTATTAGAACTACTTCTATACCAGGGCTATCACATGCACCTTGCTGCAGTAAGTTTTTTTTCATAATTGATCGAGATGCAGCACGAACTAACCAGGGTTTAAATGACATTAAATTGTTTCTAAGTTAATCGCCTCCTTATGTTGCATCGGGCGCAAAATAATGGGTTCAGTCTGAAATTAATCAAAATTTAGATTCGCTCTTTCCCCTATATGATTAAGTATCGGCATCTAATGTTTCAAGACGAATTATGTGATGAACGTTAATTAATCTTGACATGTTGTTCTGATAAAAAATGGAACAAAGATTTTAGTCACATCTGACAGCAGCAAGATGATATTTCGATATGTGCACATGTTTGTTAAGACTGTTACGAAATTCAAAGGATTTTTTTTGACCAATTTTAAGCAACAGGAATAACAAGCAAACCATAAAATTACTATAAAAATATATTTCATAAATGAATATCGATATTATGGATGAAACACACCAGGCTTGTCAAGTGTTTGGCAAATTAAGAACATTTCCCCAAGGGTTGAGACTCTCCCTTTCACCTCAAGGGGGTGGGTGACTGATTATTTTTCTTTTACCAGTTGACTCTGCAATATACCCAATGCAACATTGACGTTACGGGCTCAATGCATTGTTGACGTGACGTCATTGTATTGTTGACGTAACGCCATATAATGCTTTTTGACAGGGAATCCCCCGCCACAACGCTAGGAGGATACATGGATGTCTCAAACCGGGTAAGGTGTTGATACACCTATGCAGGGTAAGAGAACGGTATATCCTATGTAACCACAGCAATGCCCCAGATTGCACTCAGAACTATTAGTCCATTCCACAATATACCCAAACACACTTATATAAAGGTTTCAGTGTTTATAAGCGACATTGACATACAGAGTAAAAGTACGTTACTGCACTAGTAAGTAGTCTTTGAAACTGAAACCCAAATTCAGTAAACAAACGTTCGAGTATCAATTCTAATGCACCAGGTTCTGCAAACTTATGCAAGAGTTGCACCTACACCTGTGTGACCGTCATACAGGTATCTGCACTTAATGAGATAGATAGGAAATTACGTGGCACGGACGTAATGGCGTTATTACTGTGCTTACAAACACGAGGACAGGGTACCAGACGGCAGATGGCGTCATGCTTAGCACCAATGCCAATAGATAGGTGATGTGGGACTCCAATGGACCTGTGAAACCCCGGGTACTAAAGGTCACAGGGTTCGGTGCTATCACCACTCGACACAGGTGTAAGGGATACCGACTCCTGTGGGACTAGCACAGTGATGGATTGACGGGTATCAAGTGACAGTGATTACCTATTAATGTGCTAGTGCAGTAATTACACGTCCGTTCCGGAGGTCGTGTGTAAACAACATACGGGTTACCTATCCAATGTATGCGTGAAATGTTATGTAGCTAATTAATAAGAGTCTCCTTCACTTTATTATGATATTACGCTATGTTGGTACCTCCGGCGATTTCTAGTTGGGAGGCAGGGATACCACGGAGCTTAATACTGCGACCTTGTCTAAGTTATTGATGATATTTGATTTTAGCGTCGCTGTTTAATCTTACAACTCCAACCAATTGGATGGATCAAATTTTCTTATTTGTTAAATAAATGCGTTCATAGTTAAACATTGAGTGATACATAAGCATTATATTGTGTGTATACTATTTAATACAATACAACTTGGAAAGCCAAAACAAAAGCCTTAATGATTCTTCGTTAATAAAATATCATATAAATGTAATCCTCTCATGACCCTTCTGTTTAAAACGGCCCTAGCTTTCCTTAAATGCCGAATAAAAACAAATAAACAAGAAAAGTTAAGGAACAACAAATAACTCGTTACATACGGCATACATTTCGATCACTTCAAAAGTGGTGGCCACAGAACTCCATAGAATATCGGTTTGTTTTATAAACGACATATAGACACTTCGTCGTGATACAGTTTTAGGTAATCTCACATCATTCAGCCTTATACTATAACAATGTTCCTTTTTCGTACTTAAGCAGATATTCGGTTGCAATCATGAATAATTCAGTCTTGGATACTCGGCGACTTGAAACTGTCTGGCAGTTCAAATACTTTCTCCAGAGAAGTAAAACCCATTAGAGAAAGTACTAACAAGAATCTAGGCTATGAAAGATGTATCTCAGATAAGTATATAAACATACATTTCTAGTACTCAGACAGATGGAAAAAACCGATTCAGTAACGAATAATATAGATCGACTAAGTCTCAATGTACTTGCGAGGATTTGTAACCTATGCATTTTAAAGCAAGTGTATACTATCCCACAAGGCGTCGGAGTGACAATAGAACACTAACAAACAGGTGGGTGGGGGACCATCAGACGAATACTTGAAGTGGCGAGCTTAGTACATAGTTTTTGAGGACGTTTTTCTACTCTATCTGACTAAGCGGCAAAAGTTTAACATGATGGAAGTATCAACTGAAATTTTAATGTCAATGTAGAATGAGTGTGGGCTCATACATTTTCCTTAAAAAAATATGAATGGATGGAGGCAATTTTGTGTATATATTAGTTTTTTGTCTACTTGATTCCTGTCATTTGATGCATTTTCTTCCAGTGTTCTTGACACTTACTACTACAGGGATACTTGTGGAGTACATTTGTATGGTTATTATTCCGTTTGTTTTTATAATATCTCAGGCTGTGGGTGTGAACACAAATCCTGTGATTAAATGTTATTTTACTGACAATAATCATTAACAAACAGTTTCAGCATTGGTCACAGTTAACACTTTTAAAATACTTATCACTTAACTGCTTCCATTCCTCTTTATTCTGAGGAAAACATATGAGTCCACAACAATTTCCTACACTTGAACGTGCTTCGGGGAAATACCTTAAAATATATCTCTTCTATGAAAAAGAAAACTTTGTTCTACAGTCAGTGGTGAATGAATCAGTTAAATGTCACATACCATTAAATCCCATTTTGGATAGATTTCTTGGTCAATAGATGCCACCCTCTTGATGTACTCTTTGACGTGACCCGTCGCCATCACCGGAACCGGAAGTAGCTTAGTCGAAGAAGTTAGTGAGATCAATTCCGGTCTAGCTGTCGTCGGACTCGGATAAGTGCCATACCAGGAAAACGTAATGTATTGTATGTTTGCGATGTCAGTTCCAACAGAAGACGATCGTACTTGCTAGGTCAATCAAGCCCATTACGAACGATTAAATGGATCAGATAATCCTCTATTGATCACAAACCGGCAGGATCCATACAGACAAATCAACAAACTCTCTCTGTTCAATCAATTGGTCTGTAGGCGAAGTATCGAATCTACAAAATAAAGAAAAAATACCCTGTAACAGGAAATAGTTTTGAAATGTCATAAATATACACAAGATATCGCCACAGAACTAAGACAGGGAGCAAGTAATCTAAAAATCCATTTTTATTACCAGAAGGCGTATACGATCAGGACAGAAATAGGACCCGAAGATAACATGTAATAACAAGGAATGAAAAAGATGAATGGAGAAAATTGTGTTCAAACAATCAGGAGGCTTGAACAGCAGGCATGCTCTGTCAATATATATACCACTAAGTTACGACACAATCGATCGAGCCTCTATTCTATACGTGCCACAGTCACCAAACACACGATTCCGCTAGACAAGAACATTTTTCTTCATTTTAAAACCTCTCTCTTACTGGAATCCAACTGTTCTCGATACCGATAAGAAGGCATAGAGATTTAAATCACCCACCCAGCTAGGCACTGGAACTAGAATACTGAATATCTCCTTAATTTGTTCGGAGTAGGTTGTGAGGGTAAAACTGCAGAATCTTGACATCTGTAGGAAATAAATAACATATGGCTTTGTAGGAAGGTAGATATAATTAACCCGAACCGTCAGTGAAGGTCTGCTGGGATAAGTAGTGTCCTAAAAGGGGTTTGTTTGGAGAGCGAATCTGTCGATTTTTATGCTTTAAACAATCGATTTTTATTTTTCTAAAATACAGTCAGACATGTTATTGTACATGCACGCGTTCTTTGTACGAACCTCTCTGTACTGCAAGCTTACGCTGCGTAGTGTACGTCTCATTACAAAATAATTAGTCATCTCACTACTGCCTTCTTCGCATATAATTGGTAATGCATGGCTAAAACATAATATACTATATAATGGACTCATACCGAAAATTGGTTTGCTTGACGTACGATGTAAAGCATCATCTTGATCCCCGAAACATTCGTTAGGGGCAGTTATGGAAAGCGCTGTATTGATCTCGCATTTGTTTACTCTCTCATCGAGGTGATCACGTGCACTTACCATACATGTCTATAAATAAACACTAGAACATGTTAACAGTCTTGTAGCGAATGCTAGATTAAATCCGAGTTACAAGAGCCTTACGTGGTCCTTCACATCCAAAGAAATCGCTTTAGTGAGCCAGACACTGAACTTTGACCTTAACAGAATGAATATGTTCTGTGTATCAAAACGAGTAAATCACAACATTAGTATCTATACAGCTCGTATGCTTAGACTTGCTGGGTGATCTTGCGTTGTCTAGTATGCTAAGACTCTCTGACTGACTAATCTTGTATTGTCTGGTGTGTTAAGACCTGCTGACTAGCTGATCTTGCGTTGTCTGGTATGCTTAGAACTGCTGACTGACTGATCTTGCAATGTCTGGTGTGCTAAGACCTGTTGACTGACTGATCTTATGTCATCTCGTATGCTAAGACATGCTGACTTTCTAATCTTGAGTTGTCTGGTATGCTAAGACTTGCTTACTGATCATGTGTTGTCTGGTATGCTAAGACTTGCTTACTGATCATGTGTTGTCTCGTATGCTGAGACTTGCTTACTGATCATGTGTTGTCTCGTATGCTAAGACTTGCCTACTGATCATGTGTTGTCTCGTATGCTAAGACCTGCTTACTGATCATGTGTTGTCTCGTATGCTAAGACATGCTGACTTTCTAATCTTGAGTTGTCTGGTATGCTAAGACTTTCTTACTGATCATGTGTTGTCTCGTATGCTAAGACATGCTGACTTTCTAATCTTGAGTTGTCTGGTATGCTAAGACTTTCTTACTGATCATGTGTTGTCTCGTATGCTAAGACTTGCCTACTGATCATGTGTTGTCTCGTATCCTAAGACTTTCTTACTGATCATGTGTTGTCTCGTATGCTAAGACATGCTGACTTTCTAATCTTGAGTTGTCTGGTATGCTAAGACTTGCTTACTGATCATGTGCTGTCTGGTATGCTAAGACTTGCTTACTGATCATGTGTTGTCTAGTATGCTAAGACTTGCTTACTGATCATGTGTTGTCTCGCATGCTAAGACTTGCTTACTGATCATGTGTTGTCTAGTATGCTAAGACTTGCTTACTGATCATGTGTTGTCTCGCATGCTAAGACTTGCTTACTGATCATGTGTTGTCTCGCATGCTAAGACTTGCTTACTGATCATGTGTTGTCTCGTATGCTGAGACTTGCTTACTGATCATGTGTTGTCTCGTATGCCGACTTTTGCTTAATGATCATGTGTTGTCTCGTATGCTAAGACTTGCCTACTGATCATGTGTTGTCTCGTATGCTAAGACTTGCCTACTGATCATGTGTTGTCTCGTATGCTAAGACTTTCTTACTGATCATGTGTTGTCTCGTATGCTAAGACTTTCTTACTGATCATGTGTTGTCTCGTATGCTAAGACTTGCCTACTGATCATGTGTTGTCTCGTATGCTAAGACCTGCTTACTGATCATGTGTTGTCTCGTATGCTAAGACTTTCTTACTGATCATGTGTTGTCTCGTATGCTAAGACTTGCTTACTGATCATGGGGTGTCGCGTATGCTAAGACTTGCTTACTGATCATGTGTTGTCTCGCATGCTAAGACTTGCTTACTGATCATGTGTTGTCTCGCATGCTAAGACTTGCTTACTGATCATGTGTTGTCTGGTATGCTAAGACTTGCTTACTGTTCATGTGTTGTCTCGTATGCTAAGACTTGCTTACTGATCATTTGTTGTCTCGTATGCTAAGACTTGCTTACTGATCATTTGTTGTCTCGTATGCTAAGACTTGCTTACTGATCATGTGTTGTCTTGTATGTTAAGACATGCTGACTGACTAATCGTGTGTTGTCACGTATGCTAAGACTTGCTGGCTTACTGGTCACGTGTTGTCACGTATGCTAAGACTTGCTTACTAATTTTGTGTTGTCTCGTATGCTAAGACTTGCTTACTAATTTTGTGTTGTATGGTGTGCTAAGACCTGCTGACTGTCTTATCTTTGGTTGTCTCGTATGTTAAAACTTGCTGACTGACTAATCTTGTGTTGTCACGTATGTTAAAACTTGCTGACTGTCTGATCTTTGGTTGTCTCGTATGTTAAAACTTGCTGACTGACTAATCGTGTGTTGTCACGTATGCTAAGACTTGCTGTCTGTCTAATCTTGTGTTGCCTGGTATGCTAAGACTTGCTGGCTTACTGATCATGTGTTGTCTCGTATGCTAAGGCTTGCCTACTAATTGTGTGTTGTCTCGAAAGTTAAGACTGGCTGACTGACTAATCTTGTGTTGTCACGTATGCTAAGACTTGCTGTCTATCTAATCTTGTGTTGCCTGGTATGCTAAGACTTGCTGGCTTACTGATCATGTGTTGTCTCGTATGTTAAGGCTTGCCTTCTAATTTTGTGTTGTCTCGAATGTTAAGACTGGCTGACTGACTAATCTTGTGTTGTCACGTATGCTAAGACTTGCTGGCTGTCTGATCTTGTGTTGTCTCGTATGCTGGGACATGCTGACCCCCATATCCTGTATTGTGTACCGTATGTACTGTAATATTTCAATGCTAATGGTAAGGGGCTATTTGCACTACATTGGTATTAAATATCTATGGTATTATGGGTCGGTTTTAGAGAGTGGATTGTTTGTGGTTTTGGAGTGAATATACACAGGTACTTTAATATAACAAAACATCCACGCTTTATTCATCAATACAGTACGTGCTAATGTAGGTAATGTGTCAAACGTAAGCATCAATATTTAAAACGAATTCAAACCACTAGCAGGTGTCCTCTATGTTGACCTGCCCAAATATACGGAAAAGTGACAACATTTGCAGCGTGGTCGACAATGATAAAACGGATAAATTATTTGAGTATTGTTATAGGTTAAGGAATAATGCCCCCAATGGAGTACGTGTGTATTCTAAAGGTTACTAGGTTCACCCGCTTCTCTATGGAACCGGTAACCGGTATTGTGGAAACTAGACAAGTATTATATAAAAGAGACAAGTTAATTTCGTTGTACCATCAATGCAAGTAATATCGAGATTACCTAGTGTCAGTTTGAACGGTCTGAATAAGTAATAGATCTATCTATAGGCTGTACTCACAGGGAGTCCCTGTGGTATTAATGGATTGATTGTTACTATACTCATATACCGAGCTGACATTTCGGTTCATGTCAAGGTTAAGTTACCACTGACCTAGTAGAGTTCGATCTTACCTTATTCGCCGAGTTTTTTCTTTCATTTAAGCAATGTAAGTACACTTTGACATTATTTGTAGAATCAAGCAATCCCAGGTACATGAACCATTCAAAGCGAAATTATTAGACAACTGTTTATACCCTCGGCATTGTCAGCTTGTATCCTTTGGTGTTATAATTCGAATGCTGCCATCTGTGTGTGCACCGTGTCCATTCTCAGGGGGTGTCTAGTGTTACTACCCCATCTTTGGCCTGAGCCATCACACCTGGTACAAACACTGCTGCTAATCGGGGCAGCATGGTGCATGGCTACATCATAACAAGCTCAGGACCTCTGATCGATATTACATGGAAGTTAAATATTTACAGACCGTGAAGATTTCATTGACGCGGCATGACATCATATATAGTACACGTGGCTGACACAATTATACTGTTTCTGTTTCTATAAATCTGTGAATCACCACATTCAATATGTATGTTCGTATAACAATATTTAAAATGATTAAATAAGGTATTACGATAAAAAAAATCGAGGAGTTTTAAAGCTGCTTACTTCTAACAAGTTGTCGGAAGATGTTTGATGATTCGTATATATGCTTCTTCGATGTAAATATTGTGTGTACCAAAATGCAATTTTCATTCTGAAAGCTATATGCATTTTATAATTATAATGAGATATACATCGTGTATCATTACTCGATGTTCAACTATACTTACCAGAGGATAAACTATATGCAATATATTCTATTCCTGCTGAGTGAATACCATTACGACCCGTGCCTGTGCCACAGCGGGTTATAGATTGTTAAACATTCATCTCGCAGGCTAAAATCATCAGGTAACATTCTTGTGAGAAAGAATCGATAATATGATTTGCAATACGTACTAACATTAAAATTGTATAAAGGTTACCGGGGTCACCTTCATGAATGATGTATCACAGCTACGATCTGTATATACAATGTCCTACGTGCGATGAATATCAATTAAAACTAAGAACATGTTACCTTACGACATTATTTTTTTAATTTTATTTGACTATATGGTCTGTATGAAAGCAATTGTAATTGACATTGCACTTGGTGCCTATGAATGTGTATCGTTTTTCGGCCATGTCATTAGCAATTTCGCCCAGGGTTCCTTACGCTACACTCCATTCACCCCTTTAAATTGCTCAAGGACTATGTTATTTGAGATAAAGGTCCGAACGTTACACTGACCCTGGTATAATGTTGATAAAATGTTTTGTTTATGAAAACTTTAAAAGTTCAATGCTTGTAAGTATGAATTTAAATAAACTAGATATCTTCAACAATTATAAATTTCTTTGTTATTCAGCTTAAAGAATTTCATTATTCAACTGAAAGTATCTAAGATTTTGTTATCGCCAAGACGAAGTAGAAAACTTAAGTACATTTCTTATGTAATCGTACCAGTTGGCTAACAAATATTTTTACGTTGTTATTTAAAGAAAAAATATCATATTTGTGTTTGTGATAGAAGTTGCAAACAATGTAGGGAGATTTTAAGTTTTATAAAATAATTTAATCATATGATATGTTCAAGTTCATTTTTTCAAGAATCTTGAAATGGCGTCCTTTATCATTTCGATGGTTGCTTATTGTGATCGCGTAAACGATTATTTTTAGAAAAATCATTAACGCGATAAGTTATAAGTACAGATAGTTCTGTCAAACGAACACCAGTTTATAAAGAAGTAAAATGTTTGAATAACTTTTGGCCCTATTAAATCCCGGCGTATCTAGTATTTAGCGGCTCGGCAGGAGCCGAAATTGTATTTGGCGTTTTGACTACCTGTGATCCATCGGAGTGGGCATTGCACTGAAGAGAATAAATATTTCACTGAAAATTATTCTCATTTAACAGAGACTGATTTTAACGCTTTTTTCAGATTTATTCATTTATTTAGATTACCTTCATGATTTTGATTAATTCGAAGATTAATTTACAATATATTATTTTTCGATTGAAAAAGATTCAATTGTTTATGAAAACGTTATAAATGACATTGTTTTATTATATGAGCGCAATTTTACAGGATAACCAGCTTTTGTAAAGTTGGAATATAAATATCAATTTTACTAAACAAGGTTGATTAGCACATTGTCTGAAGCGTATAACGAAGAGAGGAATTATCCATACAGGTAAGTATTCCCGTTTCCACCAAAAACAATACAACTTTACGATAAAACGTTACTGACTGAGATAGAGACTTTGAAACATTTTGTATGTAAATCAACAAAAACATGTAAAGTAAATAAGTAGTCAGTAACATTAATGACTTTATATTTAGTACAAACATCTGATTTGTTTTCAATTTTTACACACACTGTTAGTTTTTCTCAGAAAGATTGTAACATTTTAATTACGGCTACAATGTTATGCGTAGGAGTTATCAGACAACACGTCCGGGTAGTGTTATCTTCACAAGGTTATACTTTTAAAAATATATCTGTAAAATAACCTGTGGTATTCTCCATAGTCGCTAGGTGTTTCCGGCAATAACTTTTTAGAGCCAACTGCGATATGTCTCCTTTTTCATGTTTTTTGACATACGTTAGAGACATAGCTATAATAATGAAAGCCTCTAAATCAGCATATCTATTTTTAAACGAAAGAAGTGTTATCAGAGTCGAACCACATGTGGTACTGAGGGGACAGCGTTGTTAACTGAGAGTTCAAGTATTGTATTGTTTTTATCACAGACACTAACAAAACAAAAAACAAGGCAAACAAAAAACATCTTTTAAGAATATTTGTTATCTGTTATTCTGTTTACATTAAGCGTAGTCATGGACACCGACAAACCAACAGACGAACCGATTACAACGTTGCTAAAAATGTTCCTAATGATATAACGAAACTAGCCTGGAGACTCCCTAACATTTCTGATGATGTGGCACCAATTCGACTATTTAAGCGTATTCGTACGGATGGTCACGAAACTACATTTCTTGCGATTGTTCTCAACACATTGCTTCCAATCTTACAACAAGCATACGCTAAAACAGCTGGACTTAGATGACCTTATGATAACTCTTGTTCTTGTTCCACATCTCCTTAAATGGAATAGAATGGGAATTGCAAGATAGTGAAAGATTCTTCGAAAGACTTTGCCAGACAACGGGCAAAAGGAGAGCTTGCTGGATTGGCTTCACTTTCAGAGTGGATTCGATCTATCAGGTTATGCATACTAAAAAGGATAAGCAGCCTTAAGTGCCAAAAAAAAAAACCACACAAAAAAACACAAAAACAATAATAGATGAAAGTCTTAATTTCTTGACCCAATTTCCAAAATACAGATTTGCTTAATAACCAAGGAATATCTAAGTACACTTTTTAATTTGTTTTCGAAGACGAAAGATTAGCTAATACATGCTTATGTATACTAATCTCTCCGAAAACCGATTAATGATAAGGATACATATTTCATTGTTCATTGGACTCGGACACTTCATAAGAACATGACAAAACATTGTACAATCAATTATCTTACCTCCTTACTACCATTCTTCGTGCCATTAAGCCATGACTACAGACGTATTTTGACACTGTTTACTCCAGAAGTGGAATTATGTGTTTATTTTGTTTTACACAAATTCAAAAGATCCTTTGACGAAATTTGAACAAAAAAATCCTTCTTTGAAAATAAGCTTACTGATGCGTCCATTTGAAATAGTATATACTTTTACTTAACTTGATATATATATATATAGTTTATATAAAAAAAAAATCAGCGTTGTAGAAAGACAACTCTACCACAGGTATGCTAACGGTAACATTTATTTACGGTGATGTACTCGGGATTATATTTATTATGATGTAGATCAAAATAGTTTTTTATGTACAACTTTTGAATTGCCAGTTAATTCATAGCATTTCTGGTCACTTTGCTTATTTATTTTTTTATCGTAAGATGACGAAAGAGCTTTGGATTTGATAGCGTGCCTTACTTTTGAAAGATAGTTTAGAATGATGAACGTTTTAAAAAGTGTATTTTCTGTTTTAATCAACTGTGTTAATAAATTCAGCTGTACTCTATCATAAATTCGGTTGAAATTTATATTATAATTGCAACATTATTATCTAAAAAAGGGATCAAACTAATTTTGACATTGAAGGATGTCTCCCCTCGTGTAACGCCAGAGTCCGGATGGTATGTTTCGCGTTCTTGTTTATATAGAGAAGTGTCAATTTCCATATTAATGTGCAAATATTCAAGTTTGTATATATTATATTACGTTTACAATTTCTTACGTCTTATACAACTTACAGCCTGTTACATTGTCCATGAACGACATAATACTTTCATAACATCAAAAATAATAATTACTAAACTATGAATGGGGCATGTCATCATTATCTTCAAAATTCTTTTAGAATAAGTTTTTGAGGAAGGAATTGTTTATTTTTTACTAAAATATAAGGCAAGTTTGTTCTTGCTCAACGCCATTTCTTCTTAATAACTGAAGCTTGATTGTCCATATTGATCTAGATACTCTAAGTTTGAACAGATATATGGGTAGCTATGTTCTTAATTGCTTGTTCACGATCATAAGACATTATTACTTGATTGGAATATCAAAAGGGGGAAGTTTTACATAGAGGACCTATCCATACAGACATTCTGTCTATCCGTATGATATTACAGTATGTTATTTTAAATTTATTGTTCACATTTTGCAAACATAACGTCTTCATTACATAGTGTTCTTTTCAAGTATTATATAGGCATATAAGTAAGTTTATCGCAACATTCCTTCAAATATTGCAATCCCAATTACAATATCAAGATTGAGGCCAAAAACCTCACCCTATCACTACTGATAAACCAGTTTTGCTGAGGTCTGGGGTGTGCGTTAAGTAAGAGAGACATGTCATCGTGCAGCAGTAAACACGCATCTTACTTTGAATAACCAACTATATGGATTCAATATTATAAGGTTATGTTGTACTCACGGCACCGGTCCTTGTCAGTTGTGGAGTTACGATCATTTCGACATTCTCCGGTGCCGTTTGTTGTCCCAATCAGTGATTTCGCTTCAGTACGTGAAATTCACATTACATGTACCAAAAAGATGTATACACTATATACACTGAACTTGTTAAATTTAAATATTATGACATAATTATAATATGTTTGATATAAATCAGAGGACACATCCGTATGTGACGTCATTCTCAATGACCGAGAGTATGCACAGTGAGGATAATCGTAAGCAATTCAATTAAAGGAAAAGTGATAAAAAAACACCAGCTCATCAAGTAGTGTCGTGAACAAAATTAGTATTTTATCAACAAATGCATTATTTTATCTCATTCAAAAATCTCTCTTTTTCTGTTTATGTACAATTAAAACTATGTCTTGTATAGTGGTCTCCCATCACCAAACAGTTTATCAACCTTTCACACACATCTGGCGTGTTTCTGATATTTCCGTTCTGTTTCATTAATGCGTAGCCGAATGGGATAGTGTAAACAAGTGTTTACGCGGATGTACATACACGTTGGCTTTATGTTAATGGTCTGTTGGTGTTATGATTTTATTTATTATTTTTTTATAGTTTTGTTTGCGTGTGTGAAGTGAGCGTTTTCGAATAAACTGAATGATGAGATAAAGTCGACTTTATGCCAGGCAGTACCAATATTTCACATCACTTGGTTGTCTTAATGCAGGTTAGGCTGGTGAAGTTCCGGAAGGCGGAATCGATATAAACTGGAGTTTAGAAAGACCTAATGAGCGCAGACCTGTGGCAATTAGGGTGGACGCGTATGAATGTGTCCTAAATTGGGTGATTAGTAAATATGTATAGACCGGCATTACGGCATAATGCCATCGATATACCGCCAATATCAAATATCAAATCCACTGAATAAATGGGAGCACCTGGACATGTCTCAGACTCAATCGAACTGTAACATCGACCTGGTCGGCAGTTATCGTACAATTGCCTGCATTCTCACCGTGTCTTTTTGTCCAATTACGATATCCATATAACAAGGTGTGGCTAGATTACCCTCTTTTTCTCTGACAGGTCATCAATACAACTTCCATAGTTGCTTCCATACAAGAATTTCTCCGTTGTGAACTTGTTCCAGATCCTGATCAGACATCGATTGATTATCGTCTACCTATATCACCATTGTATGTTGTCTATAACCACTAGCCCAATTGTCGTTACAGCATATGTTTGTTGTATAAAGTATAATTTTATAATTACAAAACATACAATACGCATGTAAGTATCGAATGTGTTCGGTAGCTGATTAATACCATTTCGTTATTTCGTATTTGCGCCTTGAAAAAGATGAGATTCAGTAACTTTGTTTCGTCTTTTCGCTCGAAAAGGATTAAATTGACTTGTTCAGTTAAATCTCAATCGTTCTTATTTTCTCCCCGAAAAAACCCGAGAATGAATATACTTGGTGCCTTTTTGCATGTGATCTTTTACTAAATCTTGTCTTTTCTGGGCTTTCTTCTCCTTCATAGGTGTTACTGTATATTATGTAATGAACTTTGCCGAATTGCAATCCTAGCATTATGCGTTTTTAATTTCAGTGATATTTTATAGCCCTATTTGGTTGATGAACACCGATTAATCACAACCGAGAAGTGCATTAGAATTTTTTCCCCCATTTATACTGAAGTTTGACACCTGTTTGCACGTGGTTTTTCGTAGCTAACCATTGGCAACGCGAGGACGTCAACAATTGTAATGACGTTACTTCAACAGTAAGGCATATCGCGATCGATGCATATTTTAATCACTGATGCTATGGTGAAAACCATTTAACTCTAAATATACTAGCGGAAAAAAGAAACTGTGCATGCCTAAAATGTGTTATAAAATTAAATGTGTATGACGTAGAACAACAAGGTTTTCAGGGACAATTTATTTGTTATTTATTAACAGTTTTATTTCATTTTACACATGATGGAATCAATAAGTTCCGCTCAGGAGTGACGTAAACACAACAGGGGTCAGTACTGAGTTCACAAAGTTAATATCTCGTATGCCCACCGTTTGCCTGAATGCAAGCATGGCAACGTCGACGCATGGAGCCTATCAGACGGTTCAAGAATGCTTGTTGGATGGCATTCCAGATCTGTACCAACGCTGCAGCCAAATCAGCCAACGTCACCGGTTGATTAGGTAATGCCCGTAATCTGCGCTTTATTTCATCCCAGACGTGTTCAATGGGCGACAGATCGAGGGATACAGCAGGCCAGGGCAACACATCAACGTTCTGCTGGGCCAGAAAGTCAACAGCGACACGAGCTGTGTGTGGCATGGCGTTGTCCTGCTGTAGCGTAATGTGACGTTGCTACCCTTGCATGAATGGAACGACGTGGGTCCGGAGGATCTCGTCACGGTAACGTAACGCGTTCAAATCCCCGTTAACAACCACTAGAGGCGTTCTCCTGTTGGCTGTGATGCCGTCCCAAATCATAACGCTGCCTCCGCCGAAAGAACGTCGTTGTACCACACACGCGTCACGAAAACGTTCTCCAACGCGACTATACACTCTGGAACGGCCGTCACTACTATCCAGGTGGACTCGCGACTCGTCCGTAAACAAAATGCCTGTCCAATCCCGTCGAGTAAATCGCAGATGCCTTCTGCACCAGTCCAGACGTGCTACACGATGACGTGGCAGAAGAACTGGGCGGATTGCAGGACGTGGCGGACGGATAGCTCGTTCAGGCAATCGGTTCCGTGCAGTTCTCGGGCTTATTGGTAGCAACCTAGGGATTGTTCGTGCAGTCAAACTTGCCGTTTGGAAGCGATTTCTCAAATGGACAAGCCGAATATGGTTGTCCTGTTGACGTGACGTCACACGTGGACGTCCCGCACGAGGTCGATCGCCGACGTGGCCAAACTGTTGATGTCGTCTCCACAAATCCCGGATTGTGTTTCGATGGACATGAAAACGTGTAGAGACAACGGCTTGGCCCATACCAGCTTGANTATATTATGTACATGAATATTGATATTTGCATGTCATTATTAATTTTTTGATAATTGTTGTACAAAAACTAGATTTTACAAAAAAATGGCAATTAAAATGATGCTGGTGGACAGAGCACATAGTAAAAGTATGTACTGGTATCATTCCACACAGCAAAGTCATGAGATAAACAAGTAAGTGTAATCTAGTTAAAGCGTCTTGTATCTTTAACGAATCTCTTAACCATCTCCAAGATACTTATGTTCATATTGATATCAAGTCTTTGACATCCATAAAGAAAAGTCTGGGTATTTAATGGAATAATGTCATTAAAAGCAGAAATGGAGTTCATGAGAATTTGCCTTTGATTAGTATACAGAGTACAATGGAAGAAGAAGTGATCACAGTCCTCAACAGGAGAACTACATAAGCAGGCAGGAGTATCAATTAGGTGAGATTCAAATAGATCTGAATTCAGGTTACTTGGCACAGTTTCTAAGTTGACATAGGTAATATTAAATTTTCGATCACCATTGTATTTAAAAATATCAGTACATTGGGGTTGAGAATCCATTTCATCTGAGTGTAAAAAATCTCTTTTTATAGATCCAATGGATGTCATTGTGGGACCCTCGGCATAGCATTAATCACAAATTAAAACGTTAAAATGCTGTTTTTACTGTTCACTGGTCTCAACAGAGTGACCCAACAGTTAAAAAATAAACTTTCATTGTCGAATTGGATGACGAGAAAAACGTCCAAACTGGTCAACGCCTATAGAGAGCAAACTGCCCGGGAAAAGTAAAATGTATCCAATGTAATCAATGCAAGTAGCATTAACCAGACAGAAAGTATTGTTTGTGAATCAACCAAACAAAATACATCTGAATTGTTATCAAGTCGACAAATTTTATTTTGTATGTAAGTTTGTCCTTTTTAGCTCCTTTTTCATATTTAAAGTCGTAACAGAAAAGATTAAATACCCATTCAAAGCGTTTCTAAGAAATTATAGAACGAACGCTTAAAACAACTTGTCTAAACCTTTAATCTAAAATGTATTTCATCTGTTTTTGTTTAGTTTCTTGCTTTCTCTGCAAGAATCGATTCAAAAGTACCATTTTTATTTCCTATAATATTTTGCAGTTAATTATTAGCTTTAAACCTCTGGCTAGTTGGAAAGGTATGCTGGTGTGTGTGTCTCCGTGATTGAGTGTGTTTAGTCGAGTGTCGTCATTACCCCAAGATAAAGGCCACTTGCAAAACACTCCCCAATCACTTTGGATTTCATTTCTTCAGTCAACATGCAATTGATCAATGAATTTACATTATAAACGCTTTACTCTGTTCGAGGGTACCACTTAAGGGAGAAACTTGATAGGCTAAACCAGACTTAAGCTATCGAGGTCCCGAACAGGAGAAATATTGAGGCGTCCAAGGGGTGAAACACCGATTGACATTAATATTACTTATTTAATCAGACATAGGATACCTTTGAATTAATAGCATACATTTGAATCTGAAGAATGTTGACTTTGTGCCAACCCATGAGCTGACTCAAGGATTCAGCGAAACCCAACTTTTTTGCATATGATAAAATTGTTTGCTCTAACTACTCCATCCAATGACATCCTACCACCAACTAGCTCATCCAATGACATCATACCACCAACTAGCTCATCCAATGACATATCCTACCACCAACTAGCTCATCCAATGACATAGCACCATCACCTAGCTCATCCAATGACATCCTACCTCCAACTAGCTCATCCAATGACATATCCTACCCCCAACTAGCTCATTCAATGACATCCTACCACCAACTAGCTCATCCAATAACATATCCTACCACCAACTAGCTCATTCAATGACATCCTTCCACCAACTAGCTCATCCAATGACATCCTGCTACCAACTAGCTCATCTAATGACATCCTACAATTAGCTCATTCATTGATATAGCATCATCAACTAGCTCATCCAATGACATCCTACCACCAACTAGCTGATCCAATGACATAGCACCATCAACTAGC